AAAGATATATAAAAAATAAATGCTGTAAAATACAGCGATAATTTTTTCTTTTTAAAATTGTATGGCCAGGTAACGAAATTTTTAAGCCAATTCTTATTTGTAAAACACATTACTTTTCATCTTTATTCTTGTAGTATATAGACAGTTAATATGGAACGCATCGCTGTTCTAATTGTATAAAGATTATTACAAGTATAACAAAGGTTTCTTAAAGACTGGTATTTAATCGTATTTCGTTAATCCCCTTGGATAAAGGCCTATTTCCAAAATTCCAAATTTAACCATTACCATTCCCGCAAAACATACCCAATATCTTGTAATGATAGTCAGTGTAATGATTACTCAAGCTTAATGAAAGGAATCCAACACGGGCACAGCGTTGGGAACAAAAGGGACATAAATCTGGGCACAGACAACAATATACTCTATTGCGTATAACTGGAGTTCGAAATTCTAAAATGCGCTACGAATCCATACGAGGTGTCCTGTAGTTTTCAGCCAGTGCCGCGCGGGGCGCCACTGTCGACGGGCGTCGCGATGCTCCTGAAAAAACCGCGCATTTTTCACTCATAATATGTAACAAACAATATCAATTTTAATGTAATGTGCTATTCAATATGCTACCAGTGTTTATGTATTGTTTATAAGTGTTCGTATTTATCGGCATCGCGTTAAAAACTTATAATTGTACAGGGAAATTTCACCTTGGAATTTGGGATTATAATTACCCCATTTTGATTGGAAATGAATGTTGTTGATCGAATGCTTTACTCATTGTAATTATTAGGCTATCGAAATAGGTGAAATTCGATCGAATATGACATGCCGGGGTAAAGGCTAAATTAGATAATTGGTATTTTTATTAACAAATATAGTTTATAAAAGGAATATCAATCGCATTTCTTTTGTAATTTAAAAAGGCTACATTTATTAAGCAGCGTTGCGAAAGATTTATCTTTTATTTAATGAAGAAATACTTCAGCCAATGTCTTGTATAATAAAATAAAACTACGTCAATAAAAATACATATAAATTTCTTAACTTCGATTAATCCATAAAGACATATAATGTACTACTCTATAGACACGACATCGATTTTTTTTGGTGAGAAAATCGGCATGCGGAGACCAGTTTATACAATTTCAAGAGTTCTGTTTTCACGGACGCTTTAGTATCAAAACTATTCGTGAGCTATAGATGTAATGAACACAATTTCAGTTCATAAATCATGCCTAATTTGACGTAAACTGATTGGAGTGAAATATGAACTGAGATTTTCAGTCATACTGTTGAAACGTGAAAGTTTGTGGGGTGTATGTTTTTGTTACCTTTTTACGCTAAATATATTTATATAAGTAACATACAGGTTGCATTATTATGTTTTAAATAGACTACTTCATTAATAAAGCAGTATAAAACCCGATACGATCGTAGAATAGATAATTTGTTACAAACGTTGGATGGTACGAGCGAGACTTACCTTTCTTATTCTGTTTAGGAATATTTTAACGTGTATTTTCCATACAAATTTTCAGTGGAAAGTCACTGAAATATAAAAATTTATTTGATGTATAAAGTCATGCTTTGGCAACGATCTTACTTAATATTAAAAACAAATCAGGGTGTGAGAATTTAAAACGAATGATCTATCTATCTCTAGTCCAATCACGGGCACGCGACACGATTTTCCTTTCCGTTTGACCAATGACAATCCAACGAAACGATGGCTCGTTGCTTCTTTTGTTTTACTATCTCTACAGACTACTAGGAACGTCCATTTGATTCAAATAGTACGTACATTAAGTAGTGGTTGATAAATACCTTCAAATGATATTACTAACCATTAAAAAACTGAAAATTGAGTTTCACAATATGGTGGATTTGACATTCAATCTGTCAAATTTTTGACAAGCGTGAAAATTCTTAATCATTCCATATTTAAAATTCCGATTTGTGTGACATTTCATCTGACGAAATAACGTGTGTTGTTTAACGAAAGTAAAAGATCTAACATAATTAAGTATTTTAATATTAGATACGATTTGACTCAGCCTGAGTAACTAACCCTCAAAATCCATATTCATATCACACATGAATGTCCAATTATCCGTTATTTTAGTACGGCCTTGCCCAAATTTTATTGCACCAATACAGTCTTTTGTGATGTTCCGTTAATTCATCGTTTAGGAATTCGGATTTAATCTTTGAAGCTTCCTGTTAGTGAACCTTGGAATAACATACTTTTATGTATCCGTATGGAAAGTATTTACGTTAGGGCTTGATGTCGAAATTATTATTGAATATTTGTACTGTAACTGTCTTATACCGAAAAAGAAACGACTTGTGTCAAACACTAAATACATGTGCATACATGCAATTTTGAACTTGGACTTTGATCTTTGACTGCGTTTTTGACTTCCGAAAAATCTCTATAACAATATAAGCGCTTGTTAATCACACTTGACATGCTTTACGGTATTGGCCTAGCGGCTTCAGCGTGCGACTCTCGTACCGTAGGTTCGATCCCCGGCTGTGCACCAATGGACTTTCTTTTTATGCGCGCATTTAACATTTGCTCGAACGGTGAAGGAAAACATCGTGAGGAAACCGACATGTCTTAGATCCAAAAAAGTCGACGGCGTGTGTCAGGCACTGGAGGCTTATCACCTACTTGCCTATTAGATTTAAAAATGATCATAAAACAGATTCAGCCCAAGACCTAAAGAGGTTGTAGCGCCACTGATTTAATTTTTTTTTGACATGCTTATTTATCTATTCCATAGGACGACATTCCTTCTTTTGTAATATTATATACGTACTAAGTATCAGTAGCTTATCCTAACATAACCGGTAATGTCCGACAAAGGACGTCCTGAGCAAGCCTACGGTGTCGAGTTACACTTGCGTAGGTTGTTAGGGTGACCATACATTATGTATTAGAACTTATACTCGCCAATTAGGCTTTGTAATTTATTCTACAGTACAGTACTATTTATAAATCCTTTTGACTTATTCAGCACCTAAGATAGGGTGTTTTATTTGTTGGGTTTAAGACATAAGAGCGAATGAAATTATAGTATACTAGCTAACCCGGCAAACGTTGTTTTGCCATGTACATATATTATTTGTAGGAAAAAAATTTTTGTTCAATTAAAATAACTATCAATAATAAAAAATAGGGGATGATGGTAGAGGCAAATTATTTAAAAAATCGTCCAAAAAAAAATATAGATAGTAGCCAATTCTCAGACCTACTGAATATGCATATAACAATTGGATAATAATCGGTCAAGCCGTTTCGGAGGAGTATGGTAACTAACATTGTGCCACAAGAATTTATATATAAGATTTAATTCATAGCAGATTAAATATATAGTATACGATATACAAATTTTATTTTCAAAGTCACAGCTGACAAAAATTGTCCTTACAGATTTACCGAAAACCCTAATGCGATTAGCTTCAAACGTGTGGTCACATCACGTCTGGCTCACGAGTGGGCACGTTAACGTTAACCGAACCATATAATATACCGCGTAATGCCTCCCATTCGCTATGCCATCAACAGTAATAACTTAGTTATAATAGCAATACGTACTATTAAATAATCTTTCCTACTTAACCCTTGACCATACATTAAAACGCTTGCATAAGGTTTGGAGTTACGACTTAGCACTAAATAGGATTCCCGTGTGACAAAAACGTAAAGAACTTTCCAATATTTGGAGCCTTAGTTCGCGTTCTACCTCTGAATCTTATCCTAAGGCTGTTATTATCAAATGTTTTTTGCGTTTTCCTCGTATCTTCATGCTATTAAATTTCTTGTAAATTTATAATTATACTAGCTGATCCGGCAAACGTCGTTTTGCCATGTATATCATTTATAATAACAAATAGGGGTTGATCGTAGAGGGGTGAAAATTAGGGGTTGTATGTATTTTTTAATGGTGTATCATAAAAAAAATAAAAACAGAAAAAATTCTCTAAAAATAAAAATAAAATATTTAGGGGTGGACTACCCCTAACATTTAGGGGGATGAAAATAGATGTTGGCCGATTCTCATAGATACCGGATAAGCACAAAAAATTTCATCAAAATCGGTCAAGCCGTTTCGGAGGAGTATGGCAACGAAAACTGTGACACGAGAATTTTATATTTATAATTATACATACATAGTTTAGTGTTAGTGTTTTCTTTAAATGTGTAAAAGTTATGTCAATAAAAGACAATTCTTATAAGTTATTTTTTGGTTTGGTTATAAATGTAATATCAATAAAATTATAATAGACAGTAGTATTACTTATACGTACAAACATGTATTTACGGCTATTATGAGATTGTAACTCATTTTAAGACATTTATATTTTAGATGGACTAAAAAGTTCGTAGACTAACATAAAAGTATATATTATTTAATAGTTATTGATTCAATATTGCCTTCGAGAGCGATACAACAATTATAGCGGTTATAAAAAAAATCCATACCATTTTTATAGTACGATTTGTCTTTATCCTCAAAATAGGCTTCAGTTTCGGCGATTATTTATTTATTTATTTATACTTCGTTGCCATAATACACATAATTATACATATAGAAAAAAACCAAAAAGTAAGTAGATTACATAAGTTATTAGGCAACGGCTACAGAAGGTAAAGTACTTATGCATATAATTAATTAACAAAAAGCTAAAAATAACATGCAACTATAAATAAAATTAAATAAAATCTAAAGAAAAAGTATAAATAATAGTATGTATAAACAGACATAAAAAAACTCAGCCTTAGGTTTATAGACTCACAATTAATATATTCACAATAAATCACAATGAAAGTATACCTCTTCATCAGCGCAAAACTTCTGTCCAGCGAGCATTTTCTTAAACAAAAACATGCCGATAAATACTTAATAGTTAATACATTATAAATGCACTGAATACCGTATTTAGCAGTTAGGTTAAGAAATATACATTCCAAAGATAAGCCAAAGAAATAATGAAAAATGAAACGCGATGGTCTACGACTGAGGCTTAGTGGCACTTTCTCTGGCAGTCTGTCCGTCTCGGATGATGAGAGCAAGGTCAGGAAGGCGAAAAGTAGTGTAGATGATGACAATATGCTGCCACGTGTCATCTCGTCGGCTACGGTAAGAAACTCAGATTGGATTACTTTTAACCTGATCTCTATTCCGGAAATAAATGTGACACAAATATCATTATAACTTGTCTATGGATATTAATAAAAGCTTTATTGAATCCCATGTATTATAGTTATATACTTAATTTTTATCCGTACATATTACTTATATCATGAATTTATTTAAAAGGGGAGTATAGGAATTTGTGAAGGTTGCTTAAAAGAAAATAAAAAAAACTCTTATCTATGGTTATGATGAAAACATTTTCGATTGTCCTTTGTCAGAAATTTCACGACAAAAACAGATTAAATTATAATAAAATGTTTACTACCTAAGCTTGTTAATGCTGTCGGCGAAAAGGTCGTTCACTGTCTTTTGAAGTTAATACCCGAAATGAATATTTAATTTTAATTGTTTATTACTATTTTAATACAAATTGTTTGCCTCAGTGAGTTATATGGCACGTGGACATGGTAGAATATTCTAGAAGTCCTGGTTTTATTTTCTGCGAAACAATTAAATTTAAACACAATCTTCTTTATTTAAAAAGTATACGAGTATATATATTTAAAGTGTTCTGTGTACACGTTTATAATAACCCCTGCATTGATTGAACTCTGACCTATCTTCCTACAACCAAGCTACGTATATACACAGTATGTTGATACAGTAATGAATTTGCTAGGTATTTCGCATCCCTTGCATACTGAATTCCTAGTTCAACATACCTCGCTCTATTCGCATTCCATAAGGCTGTTATTTATTACCTATAAATTGTATTTCCACAATAGTTAAATATTGATATGCAAATAAAAAATAATGTTCTACGAAACAGCTGTTTTGTCATATAGATGATGCTTTTTTTTTTATTTACCAGAGATAATGTTTCGACGTATTGGATAGTGTGGATAATGGACCGTGTGTGGGATTGTAAAAGAAATATATTTTTAATATTTGTATTTATTTATCATATTCCGTCCGTCCTAATTTTTTTTCGACTTTTTAATTGTTGTGCAAAGCGTATTTTCATATAATATGTAAACTCTATTTATATCTTTATGTTTGTAAAATCAAAGATAATTTTAATATATTTGCAAATAAATAATAGCTTTTGTTTATCATGTTCACCTATTGTTGAATTTTCAGTACAGTAGGTACAGCAATTAGCTTCACCCGACACGTGGAAGCTTTAAGTACACATAACAAAACGGTTAACGTGGCGTAGTAAATATAAGTCATTGCTTGTAATCAAATTCACGACGAATGGTGTTAATAAAAACGCTTGAGTGGAAGCTCGGATCGGTAAAAGCCCAATTTGAATGCGCTGAGAGCTTACGCGACTGATGTCGCATTCGTGTGAAAAGAGCCGCTTTGTTTATATGCAGGTAGAGATAATTCCAGGAAATTAACTCTTAGGAGTATCGTGCAGCTTTTGTTTTGTTAGGTAGGTTTATAATTATGAATATTGCATATTGAAATAAAGATGCCTCCGTATTCATACAATCAGAGCAGTGGATATTAGAGTTTTGGGGGTCATTGAACAATCAATTTACGAAGAAAATACGATCTATAAAGAGCAATGTTGTGCTTTAAAGCCGCATAAAATATACACACAAATTATAAGAAAACACACATATAAAATGTTTTAGCACATGAATACTTAAGAGTTATCTATATTTGTCATTTCAAAAAGTGCTGACGTTGCATTACTGTTTTAAACCGTCGCTACGTTAAAGTTTAATATATTTTATTTAAAGTCGATATATGTGGAGATACTCTATATAATTTAATATTAAACATAATATTGAAATCTCCTATATTGATTACTGCATTCTTGTTTAAGTATTAAGTATTATTTAAGTAAGTAAAGGTTGGGTGTTAATATGAATCGGTTATCTTCCGCCGAGTTTATTATATCGTAGGCGGATCTAATATCCACTTCCGTATGTTGCGCGCGACACTTTCCTTGCCTTCAGTTTATACTCTATAATTTCAAAAAAGTGCTAAATTCCTATAAAACCACAGCAACAAAAACAAGATATATATTTACCAAGTACCAGCCCTATGCGTCCCTAACCACAAACGTCACTTAGGGTTCAGGTCTATGGCAAGTGCGGTTACACTATACGAAGTGGAAAGGTAATGAAACAATAGCTTCCCTGCAAAAATGATGACATAAAAGTACTTTGCAAATATTGTTGAAGAGCTTTACTCTTAGGTATTTCTTGACGTATGTGAAATTATAGGGTTGGTATATACAAATTATATACTGGTAATAAATAAATATGATAATAGGCATCATGCCTACTGCTAATCAAAAGTTTTGTTGTACTTTTTTCTTGTATGTTTCATTCCATGTCATGTGGAGCCATATATAATAGTTACAGCGAATCAAATATCTCGTAAAATAAAGTAGTTGGCAATAAGGAGTGCAAGAGTTCTTGCCAGTACATCCGTTTTAAGTACATAATTTGAGAACTGGCAATAAATGTAATTTTAGATTCATTTCTATTTGTTTTATGTTCATAGGTGTACAACAAATATATTTTCTTTATGTTGACTGTAAAAAATTTATATTGCGCAACATTGCAAAGAAACAGAAAATGTATGATAATTTTGTTGTGGCCTTCATGAAAAACTAAATAAAAATGAAACCGTTTTTCAATAACTCCGAGTACCAAGGGAATTCTTTGTGAAACTCGGCGCATATTGAATAAGTTTTATACTGTGGAAATTTCTTAAAAAGTAATAACACGTCTTTATACCATTATTTGTTCTAGTTTGGTGTACCTACCACAACAGATAAAGCAATTAGAAGGATTAGAATTCCTACTACTACTATTATTAATATATATACTACTCATGAATACAAATAATTATAATTATTAAATAATATTAATTATATATTTGAGATAGCTTTCACTGAAACGTAAAAATAACGAGTATTTTTTTTTATATTTCATGTAAAAATTTCATATTTGTAAAGAGAAATTACGTTGGAATAATGATTTAACCTCCGTCTACACAGCATCTAACCCAAAGTCCTAGGTTTGATTCTCGGTGAAATTTCGATTTTGAGTTGATACTTAGGGAAAAATAATATCAGCCACGTAAAAATGTCTGCTCCATGCCCAGTTTATAGCAGTATATTTTCCATGTGTAATACAATAAGGAAAATCAGAAATAGGTCAAACTCCAATAAATGTTTCGTCGGGGTAGTGTGGAATAAATATCATCTGACGCGTAATTTGAAAGCGTTTTCTGCCTATTGGATTTTCCTTGTTACTTCAGCGGGCTCGGAACAAATTATATATAGTTTTACCTGAATGTTTTTATACAATTAATCGTATACATTTTTACGCTATATTCATATTTATTTTATGCTAAAACTTTGTGTCTGTACGTTCTTTTAGGCGAAAAATCCCTTCATGTCATTACCGAAATCCTAATTGACAGATAGGACTGTTCGTTCTTAGATTTGTCTCTGAATCTTTGCATTACCTATTCTGTATAGTGTAATATAAATTAAAGCCGCGAAGAAGTCCACGTAGAAAGATAAATGGTAAACACTTTTCAATCTTAGATATATCTAAGACACAGATATCATAAAGACAAAATATATTAATTCTCATTTTGGTAATCCAAAGACGGGTTCGTCTTTCATCTATATATATAGTCATAGAATTCATGACATATTTAATAGACCTAGACCCAAAAATTTGACGGCATGTCTCAGGCACAGAGCTACTTGCCTATAAGAAAACATTTATGATCATGACACTGACTACCTTGGACCCCAGACCTACGCCTGGTAGCTCAATAGACTAGCAGTTGGTGGCTAAACTAAAACTAGTTTTAAAGAAAACGATTGCGATCATCGTGATTCATTCGTAATTAAGATATGGCTATCTCAGACACTTTCATGTGTTACGGACGATATGACCTTATCGGTAGCCGGTGGCAATAATAATTGATGATGTTATCGATCGTCGGTATACAGATATGAGAGAAATCACGATTTTCACACGTGATAACGGCATTTGATGTCTACAATTCGATATGGCTACGTTGGCCTAATTCTGAAATGTTTCGAGCAAGCCTTCGCCTCGGGCTGACTTTCGCATTATACAAGCCTTAAATCAAGGGATTCAAATTATCCAACAAACTTCTTTGGAAATGCTTTTACAGTTCCAGTCTCCAGAGTAGAACAGGAATATTTTATGAATAATAAACATCACTTGTTTATTTTAACACAAAGGGATATGTTTTTAATGAAATATACCCGGAGTTAGGAGAAATAAATAAAAATATATCTCTTATTATTTTGATGTGAAACATCTATAACCGCACGTAAAACCGATTTCTGGCGTGGCGACGCCACGCTATATGATGGTATTATATAAACAGTCTATATGCAGTAGTGTGTACGGTGTGTGTATTTCGAAGTCATTGATTAAACGAATTAAGTAGTCAGGATTTGAAATAAATTCGTAAATTTTTGTATTTAATGAAAATAAATGTTTATTCAATAAATAGTCATCGTATCTGGAAAAAAATCGTAATATTTTATTTTATCATTATGACATATTTAGTTCCTATCACAATCTGTTCTTTTCTGCATATTACTTTTACAAAATAATGTCGATGTTTCACATCTGCCAGGCGTCCCGTGACGGCTCACATTTTTTTTTTTCAAATATAAGCGGACCCTTAAAACCATGTACTATGCGGAGTAACCTTTCAAAAATGATTGCTACACTGTTTACATGAGTACATATATATTTAAATAACTATATATTTTTTCAGGACACACGAACGCACGTGGTTGTGGAGTTGTATGAAACGGAGAAATCATACGTTGAGGCGGTGGAAATATTAGTCAAGGTAAAAATAACCTTATTAGTATTAATCTTATTATGTTTGCTTAGAGTATACAAAACTCGTCGATTCATTTGCGTAGTCCATTAAAAACATTTACATTATAACTCGAATGGAAAGATATTGATGCAGCATTTAAATCGATGAAATATAAATTGCGTATCGAGCTCAAACATAGTATGGTTATTAAACAACTTATTACTTTCTTTAATTTTTTATGGCTTTGTGAATATTATGTATAAGTAGTGAAATGTTAATTAATTAAAAGTTGCGTATTGGATACTAATAGGAATAGGAACGCATCTGTAATATGGTTTTCTAATAACCAATTCACGGGGCAACCCTATTATAATGATTGCTTTCAGATTTTACTACAAGTCACATCCCTAAATACGACGCAAATTTTCCACTTCAAGATCTCGCAATCTCAACGCATTAAGCGCTTTATGCGATGTATGTTTTTTTTTTAAATTGGTTAATAGATTGTATTTATCAATTAATATAATAATTCAAATTAAAATGCAGTTTTAAAACAAAACCAATGTTTAGAGTACATGTGTTAAAAATTAAATACATCGCAAACTTACACAATTATATATAATATTAACTAGCTGCCCCCGCGAACTTCGTTCCTTCTTAATGCCTAGCATACCTTTTTAGTACGTACCAACATGGAACATTTTGCTATGCTACAATAGAGACTATTCGGTTTTCCGGAATGAAAACTTTTTAGGGTTTTCTGTGATTTTTCTCTATGTAAACCTCAGAGTTCCAGTTCTAAACTAACAAATAAAAAAATAGGGGTTGATCGTAGAGGGTAGATGAAAATTAAGGGTTGTTGTATGTATTTTTGTATTCTGTACCATAAAAACATAAAAATAAAAACCCTTAACATACGTAGCCGATTCTCAGACTTACTGAATATGCATAAAAAAATTCTTAATTATTTTTTTTTTTTTTTTTTTTTTTTTTTTTTTTTTTTTTTTTTTTTTTTTTTTTTTTTTTTTTTTTTTTTTTTTTTTTTTTTTTTTTTTTATACATATTAATTAAAAACTTTTAGAATGCCATAATATAGCTTTTAAAAAAAATTGTTTTTTTCTAACAAGAAAGCTCTTCAATAAAAGCGCCTTAATGGCTGTATGGGTTGAAGACGCTCAATCGATGCCAAAGCCCTCTGACAGCTTAATAAGAATAGTTGTCATTCTGAATGCAGCGCTTAATTTTCTGGAAAGTAGGGGTCATTAAGGAATGAGAGGGACAGAGATATAAATAGTGCCAGTGACACACTTAGCGGATGTTTATATTAAGGAAATGCGCTTATGTTAATAAATAAACTAGTGTTTACGAAATTAGCTTTTTGCTTTGTCTTGTTTACTTTTTTACTTGGGGCAATTCTTGATCTACATTGGCAGTGCAAAGTATAAAAAAAAGGGAGTATTGAATAATATTTTGTAAAGGAACATCCCTTATGGGACAAAAAATACATTTTACTTTACTATGAGTTATATCATTATCAAAAAATTATTACGCATTTATACTTACTATATCTTTATACTACTGAAATGATATATGACAGTGATCGGTGTAGCAGACATTATCTGTCTAAGCTGCAATTTTTAAACCAAATAACATTTGAATTTTAAATAACAAATTTCATTAAAGGTTCGTTCTATTTCTAAAGACATTTTGTAAATAATATAATTGCATACTGTATTTATATCTCGGAAAGAATATTTCGTCTGTGCATGTCTGTGGGTGTCTATGGCTAACTGCCAGTGTGAATGGTGTTTCGAAAAAGTCTTTGTTTTATCTGTCCCACACAGGTAACGATACCGGTGGATATTCGATACGGCACACTTCTGTCACGTTTTGTATCATAAACGGTGTCTATTAGTGTTTACCATGCCAGACAGATACGCTCTCTAAATGTAAGACGAAATACCAATAGTGTACCAATCAAATTTCAGAAGTACCTTCATCCACTGAAGAGCCCAGAGAATGCAGGTCTTCTTGACGCGTTTGTGGTGGATGAGATTTTCTATCAAGTTCCAGCAATACTGAATGTCCATCAAGAGTTCTTGGAAAAGCTCCGGAGGAGGCTGGAACAATGGGATCTGCAGCAGAAAGTTGGAGATGTGTTTTTAGATGTAGTAAGTATATATCTTTCATAGCCTTCGCGATTGCTAACCTCGCATTAGATGCATGTTGTTTTACCTACATGACCCAGGTTAAGGAATCAACTATTTTAAATTTGAAAGCTACAATGATAAGAAATATATAGCTAACCTAACCGTCTTTATTAAATTTAAATGTTTAATAAAATGTTCAGATGTCCCTTAATAAGCAATATTAAATACAAGTATTAAATGAAATTCTTGTATTCTATTTACAGTTTACCAAACCCACCGTAATGGACACTTATATGTCCTTTATAAGCAATTTGAAGAAGGCTAAAGAGACGATAAAGACGGCGGCATCGTCCCGTCCCGCTTTCGCAAAGTTCCTTGACGCTATGGCCAGAGACCACAAGGGCAAGTTATCTCTGGACAACTTACTCATCAAACCCGTACAGAAGTTCCCAAGCTACAAGCTCTTAATACAGCGGCTAATCAAACATACAGGTAAGCTAAAACATTATCGAGTGACAAATTATAAAAAGGACTAAAACACACTATAATAATGGATGTATTAACGCTCTATCAAAAGAATGTAAATATTTTTTTATATGGGACTGTAGACAAAGCGCGCAATATCTGTAGCAAGTTCAATGTATAATTATCTGTAGCTTCAGAGAAGGCGCGTTAATGTTGGTTTTGGCGTCAATCTTACAATTTAGGTTTTCCTGATAAATTTATTTCATTCTTAATTTTCCTGGAAAATTTAACGCATGTAGAGCGACGATTAGGACTACGTATTTAGTAGATTCAATCTCAACTTATCTACGACTTAAAACAGGTGATATTAGTTTACACAATTTTTTTATACCGTTTCTTAGGCTAAAATTTGTTTAGTAAGTATTTATAATATCAAGTCAGGTCATGCAAACCGCACTTATTTAAACTTGTTTTAATCACGAGTCAATTAATTATGTATAAACTTCTTATTAACTGAAATAAGCAGGCAGGTCTATCGCCATTTTATTCATTCTAAATTTCATTTCAGATCAGTCACACCCCGACCACAAATTGCTTCTCGATGCTCAAAAGGAGATCCATAATCTCCTTGAGCTTATAAACTGTACGGAGCGAGAAAGTCTAGAACTTGAGATGCAACAGCAAAGTCTACGCGAATTGGAGTCTATGATCGAAGGATTATCAAATCTTGTGACATCAGATAGGATATTTATCCGACATGAGACTGTGACTATACCATCGGCTCAGGGAACCATAAAGGATAGAGCCCTGTTTTTATTCAATGATACATTGTTGATTACCAGCGTAAAGAGACGCACTGGGACTATAAAGAAACCAATTCCGTAAGTACTTCGTATTAATGACACACACAATGCGTCCGTCTAAATAATATTTATTTAATTAAATAAACAGTAATAAAAAATATCAATGTTATTACCCGACTTCCGAAAAGGAACCGGCAGCGTGACGCGATTTCATACAATACTTGAAAACAATGTAAAATCTTTGGTTCCCCCCCCTCTTTTTGTTTTTCCCCCCCCCCCCTCCCCCCCCCACCCCCCCCGAGCCCCAACCCCCCCCAAAAAAAAAAAAAACCGGGAAAACCGGGCCGGGGGGTCGGGGGATAAAGCGGCAAAAAAAAAAACCCGACTTATTTTTATATAGTAGATTAAAATTAAAACTTTTAGTGAAATCCTTTCATTAAAAATCATGATGATTTATCACCCATAATAATCTTTAAGATGCTTCAAAGAAATAAATGCAGCAATAAACAATATAAATATTAAAAGTAAATTACCAAGATTGAAAATTTGTTAGAACTTTCTGTACGCCTTTGTTTTAAGATGAAAAGTATATATCTTGTATAAATCAATGTTATATTATTTCCAGAACTTACCAAAGCAGTATAGCGAGTCAAATGGAGGGGAACAAGTACAAGCTGCTAATGCGAATTAACTTGGCTGATCTCGAAATCGTTAAATGTAAGCATTACTTCACTTTAAAATTAAAACTGCCTCAAACCCATTTGTTATCCTTATCAAACTGGAACTTTTACACAAAAGCTATTGTAAAAAACTACCGAAACGATTTTAACTATATTAACTATAACAATTGATTAATTTTATTTCAAGAAGTGATTAGAAAATTTTCCATAGTCCATCACGTGTTAATATCCCATCCGGCAAAATAGATGGCGCTGGCAAATATAGCTTCGGCTGTTACTCATAAGATTAATAAGCTTAGTTAACCCGAGACCATACTATGTCACGCGAAATTTCAATTCGATTTTTCGCGTTTTAAATTAAAATATTCTAAATTGATAATCTAACATGTTCGATTTCGGTAACATGTATCTTTTTAAATGTGTGACACTCCCGTAAGACTATTAATACTATTATTTCAGCCAAAGATGAGAACCTACGTCGAATAATGCACGAAGTGGAGACCCTCACTGAAGACGCGAAGACACTCGCACAGATATCAGAGCATGTCGCAGCATTGCACTACCCACACACACCGCTGGAAGACCTCGTGAGGGAACTACTGTGCAGTGTTACACGTCAGCTGTCAGAGAGACAGAATAGCGACACACAACTCTGTTTTATGGAGATTAGCGTTAACACGTCGTAAGTATAGAGTTTCAACAGTTTGTATAATCAATTGAGATGGACGGTGTGCGTTTTCTCCGATTATTATAATAACTTGGACCCGAATATATATTTCGGAAGAATTTAACTCACTAATATGGTTTTTATGTTAAAAATGTTCCAATTACGAACATATCTTACAATCTATCACTGTGTCAAATTTAATTGAGTTTCCTAGTTTTCTGTTTTACCCAGATTTGACAAGGGTGACTAAACTTTCAAATTTATAATATTTATTGAGTAAATCTACGTTGTATGCTATATAAATAAAAGTAAAATACTTAATTTACCATTTTTGCTTCGATGAGATTCCGTTTCGCTAAAAGCTGTAGGAAAGTATGTACTTATATAAGATCTGCTCAATAAAGGCAGTCATTATAGTACTATTATAGGAGTAATGTTATGTATGTATGATAAAACATGGATCCTTTAAGATCTTGTAAGAGACCTTCTGTGATCGGTGATAGGATATTTCTCGGACAGCCATATTTGCGCTCTGTGTTATTTTTTTTACATACAGACGAGGTTATTAAATGACAATTAAAAAACAAATTGGATTGCCGCTCCTTTTTGTTTTGTGGAGTATTGTTTACATAGCTATATGTAATAGCTCCATTGCTTAGATATAATTAGCTTTATAAGTTTACTCTGTGTTTACAGAAGTGGGTCTGAGAATCTGACCATCATCTTCTCAAAGACGGAGAAAAGAAGCAATTGGGAGGAGCTTATAATTGAGACCAAACAGAAACTTAGTAAGTTGCAAGACGATATGTAGATCAATAGCTTTCTATAAAGAATCAAAGAAAATTCTTGGTAAACACTTGGTAATCTAAGTTTTAACAAATGAAAAGTCAATGTAGGATGTTCCAATTTCCTAAGTTAGTTGTTTGTAGGTCACTAAAAGGAAAAAAAGGGTGCGTGTACTTATGTACGCGCGTAAGAAGTTATACTTTTGGCATTATTAAAAATGGTTTTTGATTGCATGCAAATAATTAATTACAATTAAATAATCAAAGACTGGTAAAGGAGTCATTATAGTCAATAAAGTTTAGTTTACATTTGAAAAATTAAATAAATAAATATTTATTATTATTGTCTTACATTAAGTGTAACATAAATTCTATTAAACTCCTACGGTTTTATTGTGAGGAAACCGGCATGTCGTTGTCTCAAACTATAAATATAAATGATTAAAAAACATTATATGCTAAACATAAAAAAAATAAACTGCGTAATACGTTAAGTAAGTGGAACCAAATACACACAAGAACAGAGTGTCTTCTCCTTAATAGAGGCTGTAAATAGTCTTATTGGACCTTTCCTATGTTAAGTATCCTTTTTAGTAAAAAAAGGGTGCGTGTACTTATGTACGCGCGTAAGAAGTTATACTTCTTTGGCATTATTAAAAATAGTTTTTGATTGCATGCAAATAATTAATTACAATTAAATAATCAAAGACTGGTAAAGGAGTCATTATAGTCAATAAAGTTTAGTTTACATTTGAAAAATTAAATAAATAAATATTTATTATTATTGTCTTACATTAAGTGTAACATAAATTCTATTAAACTCCTACGGTTTTATTGTGAGGAAACCGGCATGTGTTGTCTCAAACTATAAATATAAATGATTAAAAACATTATATGCTAAACATAAAAAAAATAAACTGCGTAATACGTTAAGTAAGTGGAACCAAATACACACAAGAACAGAGTGTCTTCTCCTTAATAGAGGCTGTAAATAGTCTTATTGGACACTTTCCTATGTTAAGTATCCTTTTTAGTAAAAAAAGGGTGCGTGTATTATGTACGCGCGTAAGAAGTTATACTTCTTTGGCATTATTAAAAATAGTTTTTGATTGCATGCAAATAATTAATTACAATTAAATAATCAAAGACTGGTAAAGGAGTCATTATAGTCAATAAAGTTTAGTTTACATTTGAAAAATTAAATAAATAAATATTTATTATTATTGTCTTCATTAAGTGTAACATAAATTCTATTAAACTCCTACGGTTTTATTGTGAGGAAACCGGCATGTGTTGTCTCAAACTATAAATATAAATGATTAAAAAACATTATATGCTAAACATAAAAAAAATAAACTGCGTAATCGTTAAGTAATGGAACCAAATACACACAAGAACAGAGTGTCTCCTTAATAGAGGCTGTAAATAGTCTTATTGGACACTTTCCTATGTTAAGTATCCTTTTTAGTAAAAAAAGGGTGCGTGTACTTATGTACGCGCGTAAGAAGTTATACTTCTTTGGCATTATTAAAAATAGTTTTTGATTGCATGCAAATAATTAATTACAATTAAATAATCAAAGACGAAAAGGAGTCATTAAAGTCAATGTTCAGTTTACATTTGAAAAATTAATTAAATAAATATTTATTATTATTCTCTTACATTAAACAAATAAAACACTATTTTCTTTAAAACATTTTTATTTCATTATACTATTTATTTTTAAGTGACTATGTCTTCATCAGAATTTCGGTTTGTAATTTTAAATTAATCATTACTTGGTTGTGCATCTACGAGGCTTCTACAAACTACTTGCTTTCTGCAACAAATAAGAGAATATTAATTTAAGCTCTGTCCATGCAAAACTTAAAAATTTTTATAATTCATATTATAAATTTTTTAACACATTTATATTAATATAATTATATAAATGTGTTAATAATATAATTTGTGCACATGCTACAGACCTGGATAGCAACTTTCTTTTATTCTTTTAGAGATAGAGATAATTTAAATATAATACCGGTGTCTTCCTTGTAGGTTTCTTTGGAGTTGTTTGGGGATTCTTGTTGTTCAGTTCGACATGTTTTCTTTACCTTTCTTTAATCCTACAAAATAATGAAATTGTTAAGTTATGTTGTCACTGTTGTGCACACCTTTGTTTGGCTTTTTTAGTATTCAAGTTATGTCAAAACTGATTTATTACCTTGTCATTGTTGGCTTTATTTGCTTTTGGGATATCAATTGTTTCCAAAATGATTTTATTTGTAATAACCTGAAATATATAAATAACATCTATTAATTTAAGTATCATGGTGAGTGGTTCGCACTCAGGTATTAAGGTGTATTATACCCACTGTCCATTATAAGTGGGAATGGGCTCACTTCTGGCAGGACAGAGTTTCGGTACTACAAGTGCAACATGGATGTTTTGAGGTATTACAATATCTCTAACTACCCTGTAGGGGAATAAAGTAATGTTGTAAGCATATGCCTTGCTTGAAAGGTTGAACCTTGAACATCACCATACATCATATTTATAATTAACATTCCTACCTCGACACCATCACAATCAAATTCATTGAAATCTACTTCAAACCATTGTGTCTCGAGAAGGTGATGGTGGCTTTGTTCCACCTCCAGTTTTTGATGTTTCACGGCGATAAGATGACAACTCTTTTTTTGTATTCAATTTAGTGCACTTCCCTGATTCATCATTGTTTTTTGTCTCTTGTCCTTTATTTGCTAGATTAAATCTGATGTTTTGATTAAATAATGTGGTCATTTTTTTGAGATGCAGGTACTTATTAAAATGTTTACTTCTCTGTTATTCGCTCCAAGCCTTCATTTTCCCTTATTAGTATTCGTGCTTAATCTTTGTTCTCATTATTGATATTTAGGGTCGTAGAATATTTCTAAAAAGTTGCTGTAACAAACGCAATAAACAAAAGCAATGAATAATGGTTCATGTTTCAGTTTTAATCAACAATAATACTCGATAATACATCGGATAGTTAACCTCAATTGTATTGAAGCACTCAGGAAGGTTAGCACAGTTTTTTCACAAATATTTTATATTATTTCACAAATATTTTGTATAATGAAAATAACTAGGTATATAATTATTAATTTTAAACAATAATTAAAACTCCTTATTTGTTTAAAAGGTAAATGTCATTGTCAGATGTCAATTGTCATGGTCATTCAAAATTCTTGTTGCTGCTAAGCTGAATATGCGTGAAGTTAGCTTCACGCATATTCTTCTTTTTACTTGTAGTTTGTCTTATTCCCATCTCGCTCGCGCCGTTATCACCTGCCAATTTTGTGTCATAGGTGCGCGCGCAATCGTAAATTTCACTCTCATCAATTTTTCATAACGCGCCTAAAGAAGTACAACTTCAAAAATAATAATTTTTGTCTAAGATTTTAATGCCCTTGAAAATAATTTTAGGGCAGTTAAACCTTGAATAAATATATGGTAAACTCCACAACTATTTCGTTTAAATTATTCTACGTTTAAAAGACGTTTATTCGAGAATATTCGAGTTTAAGATGCGGCATAATGAAGTGTCTAAATTTCTTACTAAACACTTCCAGGTGTGTATGGTCACGAGCGACCAGCTCCTGAGTTTCTGTCGCCTGTGCCCATACGGAAGACTCGCGCGGGACTTCAGTTCACTTGCGCAGCACCGACTCTACCTCCTAAGGGACAGTCGCCCGATGTTTGGGTAAGATTTATTTGACACAGTCATTTAATTTGTATTGGAAACAATCCCTTTAACTAGTTTACAAAATGATATAAGTTTTGTGGTAATATCTATAATTCAGAAATTACAATAGTTTCGGTCGCATCGTAAAGTGGTAAAAATTTTCTAGAAGATACTATCAGGCTATTTGAATATCAAATACAAAATCCTTGTAACTTGAACTTAATGGGCGAAGATTTTAACTTGCTTTTAACTATATAATAAACTAAATGCCCTTATTCGATAGGTACTGATATATCAATGTTATATTATTAGCGCATCAAGTAACTTACATTTCCTATGCATAATGTGCCATCAAAACATGGCAAAATACCAATTGAATACCTCCATACAACACTTTATTTTTTAATGAAATTGATATAAAATGTTTAAAACTCACAAGGTTATGTAAATGCCTTGTAAATAATGTTATTAATTTAAATTGATTTTAGGTGTGCAACAGCGACGGCTACGTTGGACAAGTGTGCGTACTCACTTTGAGTCCGAACCCGCAAGTGACGAGCTGCAATGGCGTGTGTAACGCGCGTATACTGTGCGTCGCCTGCGTCCCGCCCGCACCACATACTACCATTGATTTACCGTTAGTAGCTTTTGTTTTTGACCTTATATTATGGTATTACGTAAATAATTTAAGACTTTAAATAAAATATGGAGTGTAGTGTACAGCTTGCCAACAATTGCTTAGTTAACTAATTTCTAACGGGACAGTTTCTCATAAAATGATGTAACGTTTTTATTTATGTAGGTCGCGTAATCCTAGTCCGCGTAATGGAAGGACGTTCAACTTCTACGGCGACTATCAAAGCCAGGCTGATATATATCGACATATATATTTAATTAACTGTAAAATATGCAAAGCTATAAAGATGCCAATGTTATTTATGAAAATATTAGAAATTTACAATTTGTTTTTTTGTATTTTGTATGTGTGACCCTATCACAAGTCTTAAAATTTTAAATTTAATAAGCCTGTTAAAATAATAATATTTTTACTTTCCAGGCCCACATCACATATATCTGGGGCAAATAAGCCAGGTATTAGCATTTCTGATCCAGACGACAGCTGCAAGAATATAAGGCTTGACAGGTTAAAAATGTCTCTCATATACATATTTATAAATTCATATAAACTGCGTATGCGTCATAAAATATCTCTTAATATATCAGAAAACTGGTCAATTTTTCAAACTTAATATAAACGTAACATTGAGATTAATAGGGTTAATTCAAGTGAACAAATATATGATTAGAAAATTCAAAATTATTTCATTTATTTTCACAACTGTTTATTAAGGATAGTATTTGGCGAATAAAAAGTATAATAGTAAAAGTAAAAGATTTCTTGACATATTCCAGTTCTTCATCGAGCGATGAAGAAGACGATGGGTCATCAAGTGAGAACCAAGATGCGCAATCAGAGCGTAGTCACGAATCTGGCAGTCTTCGTTATGCCACCCGCACACTCACCCCGAACCATAGTAAAAGTTTAAGCACGCCGCACACAGGGCAGAATATACAAGTACACCCCGTCATGAAGAGTAATTCCAATCCAGCGGTCGATAAACAGGCTATGGGGATTACTTCTGGTAAGTCGTTTGTAATACATTTGATATATAGACATGCCCAGGTACAGTTTTAAAAATGTATTCTTAAATTGAGATATTAATGCAAGGAAACCAGACATTTACCTTCTATGTAACTAGACAAGAGTGGTTAAATAGTCAAAGTCAATAGAACTTTTAACGAAAACCACACGTAGCCTGAATACGGTTTTTTAATATCTAATATGAACGACATTGACCGTTTTCAGAGTATCATTTTTTGAAATCTAAACAGTTAAATTTAACGATAAAGCGAGATTCCCTCCAGGGATATATTCACTATTAGATTAGGTAACCCATAATTTATTTTGTTTATTACTACTATTTGCAATATACATTTATCTTGGTTATAGCACAATTTCGACAATAATTTGCTCTTTAGATAGAATAGAGCTTTATAATTGCTTATTAATTACATTATTTATTTATTTACACTTCGTTACATTTATAGAAAAAAAATAACATTACACATAAAAATTATAAGGCATGCAACGGGCGGCCTTAAGCTAACCAGCGATCTTTTCTAGGCAACCCAAGTAAGGAAAAAAAACTAAAAAAAAGAAATATGATAGTGCATAACAAACTCTTATAAAAAAAATTATCGAATCACCAACTTTAATCAAAAATAAAACAAATTTCTTTTCATAAAATAAAGTAAAAACTAAAAAAGCTAATCTTACGGATTCAAGAATTGCAATGCAATTAGTGTTGCCCAAATGCAAGACCAAGACGAGACTTAGGCCAGTCTTGGTATTGGTCTCGCGTCAATACACCTGGTCTTGATCTTGGTCTTGGTATTGCGCTCTCAGTCTTGGTCTTGGTCTTGATCTTGCAGCAAGAGTCTCGCAAGACTTGCAAATACCTATTAGCCTATTGCTATTTATTGAACACGTTAGTTTAGATTTTATATTATGATTCGCACTGTAAGAGGTACGAATAATATTTTAATCAACAATCTAGCACTAGCCTACAAATTGCAAAAAAAAAAATTGAGTTTGGCGGGCTATCCTATGCTACCTATGCGGCTAAAATAAGGAAGTGCGTGTGTGTTGAGATTAGCAGATTTCATTACAGTGTGCGTAGGTACATTTTTTAGGCAATTTGTCGTACTCGTGACTGGCGCGCTTTGCTACGTAGGTACAGTCATTGAAGTATGTGTAAGTAAGAAACGATGTAGGTACCTACTTCAACAAAATTGTATTCTTTAGAAAAATAACGACGATTATTTTTATTTATTTAGTAAATCATCGCTGAAGACAATAGTCGCTACTAGAGTAGGTACGATAGAAGTTGATAAATCGACACTGCAAATCTCGATTTTTGGAAGTGTGTGATTTTAAAACAAAATGCGTAAAGCAATATGACGTCGCTCATATTTGGAGCTTTTCCACGTTTCAAGTTTGTTTAAATCACCCACTTCCAATTTCGCAGTGCAATGTCCTTTAAAAAAAGGTATAATAGGTAATAATAATAATAAAACTAGGTATATTTTTATTACTTACAATTTTTTTTATAATATCTACCTATCCAAGTTACGACTACAATCTTCCTTGCAAGGACAACATAATCTATTTGTGTCCGTTCTGAGCACCCGGAAACTTATTTTATTCTTTGGGACATGGGCAGTGGCGGCGACCTTTGACATGAAAGCGACGGCGGTTACACAAAGTCTAGGAGCGGACTAAATTTTTACCTATTTTGGTAGGGTTGTCAATGTTGGCATTAGCACAGAAAAATAAAATTAAGTAAACACAACGTTTATCAACTTTTTAATAACTAGGTAACCACGATAGAATATTTTTTCTACTAATTTCCTAAGTATAATATATTTTCCTAAGTCTGAATATATTTTTCAATAATTTGTTGTGTAATTGAATGGTAAACTCTATATATTACTTAATAGCTTTTTTTTAAAAAAACTTATGGAAAGCACTGACATGGCATAAACACGTCTTTTCAATTATGCTGCTCACATTTTAGTACCTAGGTATATCACTCACTATCTATCATTTACCGATATTAACAATGATTATTTCGAAATCAAAATATTCGCAATTCAATAGATGCAATACCTACTTAGTTATTAATTATCATCTCGCCCGACAGCTTTAAACGCTGTAGTTTTCGAATTCAAGCCAGTGTGAGAATGTATTTAAATACAAGAAACTCAGAGCATTCAATTTATACCTACCTACTGCTGAGACATCTTCAAGGTCATTTAATTTTATCCTCCTGTACCAACCCTACCAAAATAGGTAACAATTTTGTGTGCCTCTGTCCGGACTCTTTGTCGGCGAATGCGGCGCTCAAACAGTGTCAAATGCTGTGATACACTCGTTGCAAACCGCGGCCTCTTTGTCGGTAAATTATCAAATAAGTAGGTATAGAATACACCGACCGACCAACAGTTTATTCGCAGAACGTCACATTTTCCCAATCAACCTTGAACCTTAATTCTTTAGCGATAAAGTTGTAAATCTGTTAAAGAAATTTGACAGATTGTAGTAGCTTGATGTGCTGGCGTCTGTACCATAATATTGGCTGCCGTAGAAACTGTTACTAGACCTACTCGACTCGCAGTTAGTTTTAAATTTTGCTAAATAGAAGAATAATATAAACTTTGAAACATAAGTAGGTACCTACATAATGTTTATATAATTTTGTTGGCTATAATTTTAAGCACATACCAACCTACGAGTTCAAACGTTAGATGATAGATCTGCACATTAGACATAAACAAGCATAATACATTATTATAGGTTAGTTGATACCTACAAGGTATAATCTTTGCTAGAAAGTTATTCTGGGTAAATTTTATCACATGGGATGATGGTAACAGATTTGTGAGTATTAACACGCTACCTACTTAATAAATTGTTGAAATATAATAAGTACTTACCTACCTAATCAATACAATACCTTTCAGGGTTCTTTCAGACGAGCGGCACGTTTAGTGTTATGACGATACCAAGGGTTTTGATACTGGGGAACGTCTCTCAAAATCGGAAATGAAACCAAATACCTACTTAATAACGCCCAAATCTCAGTTTGTCTTAACTGCAAGACGCAAGAGTCTTGCAGGCTTAAGTATTGTCTTGCTCAAGTCTTGCAGGCTTCAGTCTTGGTCTTGGTATTGCTAAAATAAGGCGGTCTTGGTATTGGTCTTGGTCTTGCGAAAATGCAAGAACAAGACCAAGACTGCAAGACCAAGACCGATTTTGGGCAACACTAAATGCAATATACGAATATTTATATTGCATAAGAATAACAAAAGTCACGATTGAGCTGGATAGGATATGGTTAAGAAATGTTTTTGTAGAAGAGTTTTAAAAGATGTTTGGGAGGTAGCCACTCGTATGGAGTCTGGCAGCCTATTCCACAACTTAATGGCGGATAACCTAAACGAATTGCGTAAGAAGAATGATGGAATTTCCAAAAAAGCATCTGTTAGAGGAGCGTAACATATAGTAGCATTCATATTAATCATGTATTAGTTACAATTTCTACCATTGACCTAACAAAAATTACTGTAGGATGTGGTTAAAATAAAAATATAATAGACATTAGACTATTCCTGACGCCATATCCGCTAATAAACATCAAATTTTGACTTAAGTACCTAAGTCTCAGTTAAACAAGAACCGTTCTGGGGGCCTCATAGCCTAGCGGTCTTATTAAGTGGCAGCTAGGTGAGGGGTACCGGGTTCGATTCCCGGTTCGAGGGCAAGTTTTAATTTAATTTAAATTTGTTCTCGGCCTTTGGGAGGGTTGTGCGGTACCGGGCGAGTGCTTAAACCGTACATAGAGGACACTGTCGAATTTCTAAAAGACAAGCACGAATTATAAAAAATCCTATACTTGACGCTGGCTAATGCACAAATCGTGCCAGAGCCATAAAAAAAAAGAAAAAAGAACCGTTCTGCAATATCACATAATATGAATTCTTGCAAAACGTACTTGTTAATTTATTTCGTAATCCTACAGCTAACATAAATTATATATAATAACAAACAGTTACACTGAAAATATAACCAGAGATGGAATACATAATACATTTTACTACAAAAAGGTTCAAAAATTTACAATAGGAAACAAGCAAATAAAAATTATTCAATACATTCAACTAAGTAACACCTAATTGTTGTGTGATGGTGTAAAAGTGAGGGTAAGTACGTGAAGGTGTGTCTGTGGGGAATGCTCATGATGGAGGTGATTTTGTGTGTGTGTGTGTGACATTTGACATTAGAGGTCATTGATTGACGTTTCTATTCTTATTTGAATCGTTGTTTCCTTTCTGTCACTAGGCATAGAACTGTGATGCAATTAGATAGGTACCTATTGCACTACACTATAATTTTACTAATTTCTCACTTCCTTTTACCTATGTCTTTCAGTACACGGACGCATTATAGCTGGTATGACTCGATACAAATTTTTCATTCGGCCCATATTCTAAATCTTAAATATCTTTCAATCAAATGTTTGAAAAATATTATAAGCTAACATCGATGTTATTAACAAACTTAGACCCACAGTCCTTAGATTTTTCAATATGAACCTCAAATCTAGTTCCAAGAACTGTCAAAAAGTTTATGAAATTTATTGACAATTGGGTTTTTGAAAAAAAAAAATTTTTTTGTCATAAAGGGAAAGATCATAATTATATAAGTTTTATAACAAAACTATTTTTTTATTTTTTTTCGCAATAATTCAAAAGTTATTTCAAAATAATAAATAATTTTTGAATCCAGTAAGTTGCAGCAGTTGATAGAAAAATAATAAATACAGTGTTTTGATCTATTTAATTTTGTTAATTAATATTAATATTTAATATATTAAATATACTATATATATAATAATAATTAATAGCCGTAAACGCTGTACTGTTAAATTGCTTTAACGTTATGACGTCACAACATGGTGATCGATCATGCATGGCGTGTTTATAGTCACGTGATTTTTATTTAAACTTCATCAATTTTTAATTGTTTATAATTAATTGAAAAAACATCAATATTATTAACAATAAAGTTTTAAAATACATTTAAAAAAAATTTTGTTTTTTTTCAAAAACGCAATTGACGCTGATCGGGCTAAGATTGTGAATTATATAGGGAGATATGTTTTAGAATATCTTATATGTTTTAGATATGTTTTAGAATATTGGTCTTAAACCATCTTTTTATTGCACTCATATAGTAGTTTCACTTTAGCTTCCATTTAAACTCACGTTTCATAAAAATAAAATAATAATAATTTGTATTATAAACACAATCAAAATATAAAATATAACCATATGTAGAAAATTAAAAGAAAAATCATCCGTTCAGAAGTGTTACGCAACAGATTACAATTCTGATTCGACAGATACTTAGATTCATCTTTTCACCTACAAGTACTTCTAGGCACCCTCTCGTCACCAGCCAGCCGTCAGTCCTCAGAGGACAGCAGCACAACTGCGAATCAGCCCACAATGTGGTTGGGAACTGAAGATGGCTGCATACACGTATACAACTGCCTGGATAATATACGAATCAAGAAGAATAAAGTCAAATTGCAGCATAATTCAGGAGTTCATTCCATTGTGTAAGTTAGCCTAAAATCACTTAAAAATATTATTATTTATCACATTATTTAAGGACATAATAAATTTTAATTAAACATTTTACTACATGGGAAATGGAATAATTTTAGCTAAAAGACATTCCTAATAATTTATAAGGAATATACCAAATTAATTTAAATTTTATAATTACCTTTATCTGGAAATATTTGGATACGAACGTCCAGACGATTAAAAACTAGTTAAGAAAACTGTTGCGTTATTAAATAATAAAATAAAAATGTGTTGACTAATAGATGTGCATTACAATGTGTAAGATTTGGGAACCCTTTTAAGTAAAAACTACCTGTGTCACGGTTCCCAGCTCATATATTATATATGTCGAATTGACTTCTTGAGTTTTATGAAGTTTAATAGTTTTGTACAATATCAAAATTATTGTAATTGTGATAAGTTAATGTAATTGAAATATCTGTAACTGGATAAAATATTTATAATTTAAGATACGTGGAGGGTAAAGTGTTCGTGGCGTTGGGCAATGGCGATCTCGTTGCGTATTGTAGAGATATTGGTAAGTAGATATTTTTAATATGTTTTTTATTTATTTAGAAAAACCTTACACGGTTACTATAATACAAAACAATTTTTAAATCGAAACGCCAATTACAAGGTTTCAGATTTAACAATAATATTAGAGAGAGAATGCGTGTAGGGTGGGGTTGTGTGTGTGTGTGTGTGTGTGTGTGTGTGTGACATTAACTGTCTGATAGTATTTTAAGGACATATTTTTTGAGAGTGATAGATTGGTAATTAGAAATTATTTATCAAAACGAGTACCACCAGCAATTGTGAAACAAAACATTAGCGTAATTTTAGTTAAAAGAGCGTCTTTAGTAGCTTTGTTTGTTATTTATGTTTTACACAATATGTTTACATATACATATGCAAATCCGGAAGCCATGTGTTAGGATCCCTATTCGAATTACTTTTGTAAGGTGGAAGAAAATCTTAATTTGTAGCATTGATGATCTTGGTTTTAGAATAGCTTAATTTCTTGAATGAGATGAAACTACGGTATTTTTCAGAAGGTTCCTGGGCAGAGCGATCGACGATCCAAGTGGGAACAGGTAGCACTCCCGTCAGCTCCATGCTGCTATCAGAAGGACGGTTATGGTGCGCCACTCACTCCTCCATCAAGATCATTAACCCGCACACTCTTCAGGTAACATACAATAATCTTTATTACGTTTTGATTAGATTCACAAACACACTTACGTCGGATAATACTAGCTGTTAAAGATACATTAAAGACGTTTATTGTATACTGATTTCTTTATAAAATCTACATTGTCTTGAAGTAATTTTATATATTGCTTTACAGCATATTTGCTATTAAAAAGTATATGTTTTAAAGATAGGTGCTGTAACGTTCGTTAAGCTTGTTCATAATACAAACTAATTTATATTTATAATTGTAAAGCTCAAATAGTTCACTTATAAATAAATTGTGACCAAACTTGAAAATTTGTAGCCAATTAGAGTATTGTACTTGTACACATTTTTAACTCACATCAAGAAAGGCAAGGATTTACAAATTAAGTTATCTTAATTTCATACAGTTTATTTCCTTTTCCAGATTGACGAAACATTCCAAATAAGTTCAGAGACGAAGCCGATAAGTCACATGGCGGTGTCGCACGGCGCAATATGGCTGTCGTTACACAACGCGGCGCAACTCAGGGGCTACAACGCCACCACGAGGGAACTCATCTGCGAGATCAATATAACGCCGCATGTCACTAAGATGCTGCATGGTGAGATATTGAAATTAATTGACCCGGCAAACATCGTTTTGCCATGTATATTATTTCTAGGAAACATTATTTGAGTTCAATAAAAATATAGACTATCAATAATTAAAAATAGCGGTTGATCGTAGGGGGTGAAAATTAAGGGTTGTATACAGTATTTTTGTTTGATATATTATAAAAAAATTAAAAATTAAAATCTCGTCCAAAAAATAAAACTAAAATGTCAGGGATTGACAACCCTTATCACTTAAGGGTATGAAAAATAGATAGTAGCCGATTCTCAGACCTACTGAATATGCATATAAAATTTGATAAAAATCGGTCAAGCCATTTCGGAGGAGTACGGTAACTAACATTGTAACACGAGAATTTTATATATAAGATGTTTGTTTTGTGGAAGTTTAATTTCTCGATAAGTTCTTTAGGGGTATTGAAAAAATTAACAAAAAAATCTAAAAGTCATGTAAAATTCTTAACAAAATACCTATGAAATCTTACAATAAGGCAGTTACACAATTATTTAAGTACTAAAAGTTCTTGATCGATCTGAAAAGAGTTTCGTCGGGGGATTTGCAGGAGAACTAAATTTCATTCAGTGTTGTTATTTCGACTACAATGCTACGTCATTATGGTTCGACGATTATCACGTTACTTAATATGAAAAAAAAACTGTTAATTTTAAAATTATATTTTAAATAAATAAAATTTTATATTTGGGAGTTTTGTGGGGGAAAAAGGAAGCGTAGCAAATATTAATTATATTAGTCCGTGTTCGGTATGAATTATGGGAAACTTTCCAGGTTGCGATGACATAATCCGTCAGCATAAGGCAGCGTGTCTTCGAGTAACTGCATTATTGGCGCATCGGGACACTCTTTGGATTGGAACTAGCGCTGGAGTACTTCTTACAGCACCGCTGCATAACGTACCCTCGGCCAGAAGTGGTCTTACCCAGCCGCATATTACTGGTATAATTTTAAAACAATTAAACAAATGCATATAAATTTCAATCAACAAATATTTTTTTCCAATATCTTATGTTTAGTAGCTAGACATATATAGCTAGCTGTACCCTAAGGTTTGTTAATATTTGGGAGCAATGTGAAGCAGTAGTAATGATATTTCTTATTTCACTCTATCATAGAAGTCAACATTACATTCATTGTTTCAAAATGTACCTACCAAGTCAAATCATTTATCAATTTCCTGAATATAAAATCTAGACAACTTTTTGAAAAATGCTTCATATAGGATTTACCGCCCTTATTAACATCATGAACTAATTATGAATTAGAAATAGTACTGATTGCTACTTAATATTTTTTAAATAAAAATCATAATAATTGTGGCATGGTAAGACGGTCATATTTCCCCAATTGTGGATCTATAATTCACTTTCTATTAGACCTAACTAGTTTTTAATATTTCATTTTCAGGTATTCCATACGGTCACACGGGCCACGTAAGATTTTTGACAATCGTAGAAAACCCCGTTCCCCAAAAGCCGACGAAGCCAACTCAATTAAAAGCCAAAGGTCTAAGCCGCCGCTCAGCGAACGCAGAAAAGCTTCAGAAACAAGCCGAGAACAACAAGAACAATATGGAGACGCTGATCATTTCCGGGGGTGATGGCTACGAGGACTTCAGGAGTTCCACCATGACGGAAGACGCCGGAAGGGAGGATTCCACCAACCACCTGCTTCTATGGAGAGTCTGAACCATCATTCGGACTTACAGGGTCTAATTCCGGTCTCGGCCTTTACGAGTTGAATTTACATTGCGATGTCCAAGAGCCTAAATTCTTGAATCGAATGTTGCTTTTTAATAACTCGCGAGAGTGATAGGTTGAGATTATTAACGTTATTTAGGACATTAAATGTCGATTATGTGTCTATCAAATTATCCTAACAATGTGCAGTATTAAACAAATTTTAGATTGGTTAATGCCAAATGAATATTTACTGTTTTAGAATCCTTTACATGTCCAAATCAAAAGTGTGTTATGTGGTCATTGTTTCATAGCTGTTATCCAAAACCTCGTGAAAGTTAAAATCGATGTTATTCATATCGCTTCAAAATGTAGGTATTAAATGTAGACGAGGACAAAGTGAAGCAAGCTTACCGCGTATCTTGAATCGCGATTACGATTTCAATGAAGTATTGGAATTCCGGCCAACGTTACAGCAACGCAATGCTATTATGGATTTTGATAGAAGTAGTTAGTTTCGTTGTTAGATGATGTCATTAATGTTCTTTGTGAGGGAGTAACAATACCAGGCAATTGCTGAATCTGTCATTATAATCACTACGAGTATAAGAATTACGTGGTAAGTTTGCAGAACGTCTTTTGAACTAGTTCTAAGCGATTTTGATGTATTTGTAACAGATCTCTCGATAGTGTAATTCTATGTACCTTACTTTAATGTTAAACTGAGTTTTAATTGCTCAAACGAAATTCAACTCAAATGTTACCTACCACGAAATTATTTTGTGAACTAAAGGAATTGTAAAGTTTTGAAAATTTTAGGTATATTTATGACGATAATAAAGAAAGTTGCACTAAAAACGTTACATTATTTAATAGTAGCTGTTTCCTAAAATTTCATCTCCATATAATTATTATATATTATATCATCGATAGATTTAATGTCCCTAAGAGGCGAACTCAGGCCTTGTTGGCCTAATAGCTTCCGCGTGCGACTCTCAACCCGGAGGTCGTAGGTTCAATTCCCGGCTGTACACCAAAGGACTTTCTTTCTATGTGTTCATTTAATTTTTGATTTAACATTCGCTCGAATGGTGAAGGAAAATATCGTGAGGAATCCGGCTTGCCAACCCAAGCCGGCGTGTGTCAAGCACAGGAGGCTGATCACCTAATTGCCTATTAGATTGACAAAAGATCATTAAACAGATACAGAAATCAGAGGCACAGACCCGATTTATTTTATTTTAAAGATACGAACTCACTTAATTTCTCTTTTAAGAACAATAATTTAAATTATGAGTATTCCATTTTTCATAATAAGGATTAACATTATTGGAATTGGCTTTTTGATCGATTGCCACGCCCACCTAATTATTAAGTCAATTTCAGTTTTTACGAGTAGCCACGCTGCAAACAAGTGTAACTTTCTAATGTATATAAATAAATAGATGATATAAATGAAAAAGCCATTTGAATGCACCACTTTTATCTTTAATACAATGTTACTTTATAGCAGCTCTACATATTCTTCTGTATGTAGTTTACTTAACATTAAAATTTATATAATTTAACTACACATATCAGCGATATCGGCAACAAAAGCTTGAATCTTCTCATCTTCATTTATTTTATCTTTTTTACCTCTACTTACAAAATAAGGATCTTCTTGCAATTTAGCAGCCAACCTTTGTAAAATAGCTCTTCTGTCTCTTTCTGGATCACTTACTTCTCTTTTCCTTTTATTGCCTGTTTGTCCCATTAGGGACTGAATCATGCTACAAACTTTATCTTTATTCAAACTCTCAAGTGCCATAATAGTATTGCCAATTTTGATAAACGAATTTTTTTTACCTCTCGCTATATAATAAGGATCTTTTTGTACCGATCTCACAATGTCTTCAAGTGCTCCTCGCCGATCTCTTGCAGCTTTAGCTATACGACTCCCATACTTTTTTCCTCTTGTTATAATATATGGATCATCCTCCATGGACGACCTACTACTACGTTCAATTAAAATATAACGTGGTTCTTCAGCGTAAATTCTGTTATCCTGAATTGTATTTTGCTCCAAAGGCTTGACGTGGAACCCCACACTCACTTCTTTATTAATAACGTTTGCTTTGTCACGTCCTCTTAATGTCCCAGTAAAAAGATATTTCAATTTACTATCTCTACCTCTATTTGCCCAAAATGAAGTAGGATCCCTTAAACGTGACATTTTGGAATTATTTTCAAAATCAGATGTAAATGGTTTTAGAGTATCATCGAAATTCCGGTATCTTTTACCTCTCGTTGCCCAAAATGGTTCTTCTTCAATTAACTGTTGAAGTGCATTTTTGTTTTTCTTACCTCGGTTGCCCCAGAACGGTTCTGGTTCATTGTATAGTGCATTCATCTTTCGTCGGCCTCTGTTTCCCCAAAACGGTGTTTCATCGTCATTGTATAAGGCGCGGTGCTTCGAAGATTGAAACTCGTTGCTTTCTAAACGTCTACCACGGCTGCCCCAAAAAGGTTCGTCTTCAGTTCTTCTGCCCCTGCTACCCCAGAATGGATCGTCTTCTTCTTGTCGTCTAATTCTGTCGTCCCAAAATTCTTTACTATCTTCTTCACTGCTACTGTCATATCGCCGGCCACGATTACCCCAGAATGGCAGATCATTTCTATAAATTGAATTGATTGAGGGACACGTTTTGCTGTAAGGAGAACAAACTTTTTCGTACGTCATAGGTTGTTCTTCAGAGTTCTCTAAAGATGAACTTTCTCTCCTTCCTCTTGCACCCCAAAATGGGCTGTCATCTTTAATAGTATCTAATTTTAATTTGTCAGTGAGCTTTTGTGAAATTCCATTGTCATCGCTTGGTTTATACTGTAAGAATGATTTGATATTGGAAGATCGTTTCGTTCGTTCGCTACCCTTCTCGGTATTTTGTTTCTGTTTATGTATATTAGTGTTATTGCCATGTTTTCCATATGCGATATCGTTAGATGAAAGAAAGAGTATCAGGAAGATGAAGATTTTCTTACGCATTTTTATCTGAAATAATAGTTTCAAATAAGTTAATGTTGCCATGCTTTTAATGAACATAGATATTTTGATTATTATTAAAATTTAATTACTATTTATTATTAACTTGGACATTGCAACTTTTTGGATATGTTACAAAAAATTCAGCCTCATAACCAAATTTTTAAGGTACGAATAAATGAAAATCGAATTCAAAAACAAAATTCTTGAGGACTCTTTACTAAACAGAAATACTTACATTTTTATACACAGGGCAGGAATACACATGATTACTGTATTTTTCAGTGGTTGGCTTACGTTTGAGGTACAATATTTCTTGCGGTGCTTATAAAGGCAGTCCAAGCAGCTAGTTCCCTAGGGCTGTCTCGGCAAATTGTATTTTTTCCTGTGTGATTGTAATGCGTTGGGACCATGTGACCGTTATTAAATTAAAACAAATCCCATTTCGAATTGCTCCGGCTTAAAGGCAAGTTCTTTTCTGTTGGAATGTTCAGTAGTATAAACTAACCATTTCTTCCAAAATAATACTAGTAGATAAGACACCGTAACACCATCTAGATGGGTATATATATCTATTACGTAGGCTGTCTTATTAGTTGTCTTGCTATATCAGTAGTACTTGCTTCAGTTTCAATAAAAATTTGCCACCTTAGCCGAATCGGGCTGCAAAACATTGACTGACATATCATAAACATTATGAAGTATTTATTTATGTCTAAAATATAACTTTGAACTTAATATTAAGTATAGGTTACTGAAACTATGTTTGATCGAGGCTACTGGAGTTTGGGTAGAATTGTAAAAATGTGAAATATTATAATTAAAATTTTAATTTAACTAAAATGTGCGCTCAAAAACTATCCTTATTCACGATTAGCGTCAACCCTTGGGAAATAACGACATTGGTCGTATGAAATAATATTCCATGAATAATATTTTAGCCTAATCTTGCCCTTGGAATTACACTATCAAAGAATGCAATAACCAAAATTCTAGTTTCTTATAGTAAATTGTCAATGAATATAAAAAGAAATTGTCTGAACTGAATTTCCGTCCAGTGGCTAAGGATTTGCACGCATGCTTCACTGATTTAATTTTTGTTACTCTAAGAAAACAGAGTACATAAATAAATAGTATCACTTATGACGCTTGTACATGAGGTATCCGTATCTACATCTGTCTGAGTATGAGATCATACTCGGTCGATGTAGCTAGAAAAAATAACAGAAGTTGGTGAAGGTGGAGAAAGTTAGGGAAGACCTACACCAATGGTAATACTAACGAAACTATAATCTCAGAAATTGGTCAATACTAACAGTAATATTGTAGAAAGAAGAAAAACACGAGTGCTACAACCATTGGCTTCAGATTTCTGTTTGTGTTTCCTAAATATTTTTTTATTAATCAAGTAGGTGACCAGTCTTCTGTGCCTGACAAAAAATATATATATTCTTCGTTTTAGCTTAGATCTATAAATCAAAGAAGTATAGTAAACCGGCATTCACACACATGTGTCTCACGTATGGATTTCGTTACGATGTTTTCCTTCACACCACGATCCTGCCCTGAACTAGGTTTGCACTACTGAGATTTTAGACATAGAAACTATAATTATTTTGATGACACATAAGGAAAGGATCATTTTAAATTCCCGCCTTACCGTTATCTGCCTCTTAATATAACGTATAACTTGATGGTGAAACAATAATCGTATCACATTGGTAAGAACTGAATTACCTTAGAACATGGTCAATAAAACTGACTTAAAAATGTGTCTTTCTTATGCTTTATTATGGTTAAACTAACCCAGAGGTCCTCTAGATCTAGTAGTACTTTACTGGTTTTTTAAACAAATAAAAAAATAATTATTACATATTAAATATGTGTAATGCTCTTATATAATTTTAACAGTCGCATAAGTGTGTTTCGTTCAACGCACTCATCCTATTTCCTCTATACAATAGTATGAGGTGGGAAGATTTATTTT